TCAGCCATTCCTGAAACAGGGACCAGGGGCTTTCCTTTCTAAGGAATGAGAAATAGATCTGTGTATTTATGAAAGGGACTCTGGGGCCACCTTTGGATTAAAAGCTAGGAACTTTGGCTTTATGTTTCTATTAAAAGCTTTCTGAAGAAATGTACGAACAAAAATAATAACACCAGGAGGTCATTTCCATGTTGAAAACTCTTTATCAGGGCTCTGGCAGAGCAGATACTGGAGGGAAGCATGTAGTGTGGTCTGAAGTACATCATTTGGCCTCTCAGCACCCCACTCCCATGTGAAGGTGATGGTGTCAAGCACTTGGTAAAGTGAAAATCTCTACACACACGCTGTGTTTTGGGAGCCAGGCGAAGTTGGCTTTATCACATCTCTCTCCTTGAGCAACTAGAGAAAAACCCACTCAAAGGCTGCAAAGAGGAGTGAGATTTCAAAAACATACCTGCCGAAAGGCTAAAGGATTTGATGGATTCTGCCTCGAAGAAGAGAGATTTAACAACTGTCTTCAAACAGATGAAGGGCTTTCCCCAGGGCCTGAGAGAGCCTGGAGGCCATGTGTTCTCAGTCTGCACCGAATGGTGGTGGGAGGAGCCAGGCTCCAACAAGAGAAGTTGTTAACCTCAATGCACTCAAGACACAGACCAGTGGCTCCTGGATGCTCCAGACAGCAGCAGCAGCAGCAGCAGCAGGAGGAGGAGGAAGAAGAAGAAGTAGTAGTAGTAGTAGTAAAACTACATCTGGGTCTCAACCCTACAGGAAGTAATCTCTTAGACTGGGCATATATCCACATGCCTTGTTAGTCACCTCTTTCACAGGCTCTGTTCTTGGCCCAGGTCAGCACTCCACCAGAGTCAGAAACCTGCTCTCCCATTGTTTCCTGAAGACCTTGCCTATTGCTCTCAAGGCGACTCTGATGAACTACCCCCACATCCCTACTCTTGGATCTCCAGGCTCTGAATATGTACAGAGCATGAACACTGTCCCAAGGCCTTGTTCTTACATCGATCCTTCCATAACACTCTTCCCAGGTTTCCTTCAGTCTGAATTAGGCAGACACGAATGACGAGAATGGAATCTCTGAAACTATGTCCATGTGAAATTTCACAGTGCATGGCCCCCACCCACCTTCCTTCTGGGTAAGGAATACAAAACTAAGCTAGCAAACACAACAGCCAGGATTTCAACCCAGGTCTGGTGGATTCCTAGGGCCATGCTCTTTCCTAGGGAAGACACAAGGAGCTTGAGAATCATGTGACTGCAGAAAGGAGGATGGCTGGGCCCTGCTTCCTGCTTTTCAACTTCAAACTTCTACAATGCACAATCCCCACCAGGGCTGGATTCAAGTGCGTGATGTGTGGTGTTTGTAGGGCAGCAGTCATTCAACTTTTGCAGACATGGGTTGTGAACCCCAACATCCGATGGGGCCTACTTCTTACAATCTCTGTTGCGGTTTAGACTCTGAAGGGTCTGAGATGGACACTGCCGCTAGATGCAGAGCACCAGAAGAAGACCCTGCAGGTCAGGCCCTAACCATTTCCCATCCCATGTTGTTATAATGAATAAGACATCATACACAAGCGACAGCAAAGGCAGAAATCAAAACTTACAGACACACCGAGAAATAATTGCCTACACACTTCAGAATTAAGTTGCTGTTTATACTTCTGTTACCTGAGCTAATTATACTTTGACCTAATCATCTGGTGATCCAGATAGTGCCAGGCTTACCAGGGAGCCAAATGGTTGCTATTCATGGTGAAAGTCAAACTAAGGAATGCCTCAGACTGGGACTCACACAAAAATCATGTCTGACATCAGTGAAACATCTGTGACACCACATGGCTCCATAAGTCTACTTCCTTCAGATTCTCCTATCAGATGCAGATATTACCCATTCCTCGGTCACAAGCGCTGACAGATGTCTGTCTATTCAGATTACACTGAAGAATAACATCACATGACTGGAAATGACCTTCGGTGTCATCTGGCCTGACCTCCCCTTACATCTGGGGTCAGGTTCCCTGCTTTAGCCAAAGCACACACTAGTCAAATCCCATTATGGTGACCAACACAGGATGTGCAACTGCTGGAATTTTATTAGACAGTCAGAAATCACATTATATCCTGCTCCAGCGGATGTAAACACCCAAGCTTCCTAACAGCATGTTAGGAAGGAAAGGAACCTTTGGAATACCCTAGAAGAAGGGGGTGGATTCACACTGACACCCCACACTTTTCTATGCACCCTTTGGAATGTGCATGGGCTGTAAAATGTGTGCCACATCTACGGCTAAGTTCTTCCCATTGACGGGACTGGAGCATGGGAGACAGGGCTGCTGAAGAGATGCTGGTGGCAGAGTGATAGAGCAGTGAGCCCTCAGTAAGGCCTTGTTACTCTCCTCTCACCCTTCCGCAGAACACAATTTGTACCCAAGAAAGGGAGCAGACAAGAGTAGAATCCACAGTCTGCAGGGCAATAGGGTAGTTTGACAATTGATTCTCTGGGAATTCTCTCTTGCAGTCTAGCTGTGGTTTATGCCTCTCTGAGTCTTTCTTTCACCCTCGCAACCCTTCCATGACCAAAACCACCTCCATACCAAGAGCCCTCTCGGCCTGGGGCACAGGACTGGGAGAACAGATGGATGTGTCCCAAATGGAACATCGCACGGGACTACAGGGCATCCTCCCACCACTCACAGAAGGGAATCCCAAGCCCAGACCAGCACAGGGAAAATGGAATCCTCTTGGCTTCAGAGAAACACATGCTAGTACTTTACAGATCCTGGCATGTGTCAGCGTTTCTAAAGTAAACTCTATTTTCTTTAGATGAAAGAGATTAAAAAAAAATAGACTCAGAATTTAACCCAATGAAAATTGCTTTGGTTATTCGCATGCAATAAAGCGTAGAAGCAAGAAGAAAAAAAATCAATTGCTTCTGATTTATTTATTCATTCATTGTCCATCTCCTTTCTCCCTAATGTTAAAAAAAATGTTGTTTATAATTTTGCAAGCCGTTAATCTTTTCAAGGAGAAAGAAAATAATTCAAGCCTGCCATTGGTTGCCCAGCATTTTGGCACAGGAAATACATGTTTAATTAAGGTTAGGAAAAGAACAGGAAAGAGGGAATTGATTTTTGTTTATCAAACACTTTTTCCAACATCTACAATAAGGATGCTATTGTAAACTCTCAAGTCTTATAAGCCGGGCTCACATACTATGCTAACAATGTTTAAGGCAACTACAAGCCTTCACTCTTTGTTTGCATTTGTTGTTTTATTTTTTCTTATTTCTTAGGTTGACCTCAATTTCTTGGGCTCAAGGCATCTTCCTGCCTCAGCCTCCAGAGTAGGTGAGATCTTGGTCATTTGCCACCTGTGCTGGGATAGGTTGCTTTTTCTTAACCTGGACAGGCTATTTTCCTTTATTTTTGTAGGTCTTAAATATTTCATACCACATATCATTAAATCCTCAACTATTCAAGGGCGTATTTTATTCTTGGCTGTTCAGGGCTGACAGCAGAGATGGGAAGTTGAGCATGCCAAACAGAATTGCAATAAAAAGCAGAATATGTAAGAAACCAATTTTGAAAGGATGCTTGAAGCTTTTAACCTGTGCCAAATCATCAAAATCTATTAAAAGAGGACCCAGCTCTCGTGTGGTCCCCACGTGCACATAATTATGGAAATACTCTGGACACCTGCTGAGACTGACAATGAACGGACCAGATGAAAGTTATCAGGTGCCACTATGACATCCATCATTTGCCTAGAGCAGTGGTTCTCAACTTCCTGATGATGTGACCCTTTAATACAATTCCTTATGTTATGGTGACCCCAAGCCATAAAATCAGTTCATTGCTACTTCATGACTGTAATTTTGCTACTCTTATGAACTGTAATGTAAACACATGATACAGAGGATATCTGACATGTGATCCCAAAGGGGTTGCAAACCACAGGTTGAGAACCACTGACCTATGGTCTTTGACCTTAGTCACATATGTTTCTTCCCACCACAACCTTTACTTAGAGACTGGTGTGTGTGTGTGTGTGTGATTGTGACATTGTGCTTATTATCTGGTGTGAGTCTGTGAAATGGCCAAGTTTTCCAGCTGGGAGAGCTGAAGGACAGGAATGTACTCTTTTCACTTGGGGACACAGACCCCAAACACCATTTCTTTCCCTCATCTCTAAGGTGAAGTGGTTATTGTCTCCCAGTCTCTCTGCCATGCCACCAACCATTCTGTCTCCCTGCCCTCAGAGAGAAGCGAAGGGAAGATGAGGCCAGTCAATACATTTCAGTCCCGTCTAGTCACTACCCAGTCTAGTGCTTAAGTCTACCACAACTGCCTTGCATCTGTCTGGACAAGGCTGCATTTTTTAGCCTTCCCTTCTGCTCTGCTTGTCCACACTTACATTTCTGCCCTTAAAAGATATTAAGTGAGCAAAGGGGGAAAATCAAAAGAAGAGGATACAAAAACAAGAAAGAAGAAAAATATAAATATCAGAGAAAACCTATATGTTGTCTCATCTCATTGACTTCATTTGCCTTCTAAATAACTAGTAAAATGAATCTGCAAATGATCCAAAAGTGTAAGATTCTAAAGTCTGCCACCCTCTTTGTTTCGTTTCTGAATACCGTTAGACCAACTGGTTTTACTTCCTTCTCACCATGCACAACACAAACCTCCAGAAGCCTCCTGGGAGCGAGTGCCGCTCCACTGGCACCTGCCCTGCACACAGCATTTGGAAATGCCTGTGTTACCGGCCTCTCAGCAAGTCCAAATCTCCTTCTGCTCCACCAGTAACAGATGGCTGGCTCCTTTTGGTACATAGGCACAGCATCTTCAAAACAACCTTCTCCTGCTAAAGCATGCCAACTAATTAAATGTCACTGAGCTAATGTCCTGGCCATGACGGGACTGGGGAGACCCAGAAGATCGAGGCTCAACACAAAAGGACAAGGGTGAGAGATCATGCTCTCTTACCTTCGCCTGATGACCCTGAGAGATCGATGATCACATACACCTTTCCTTCTGGCTCCAGATCAATCTGCAAGCAAGAAAATGACAGTGGGCCTGTTAGTGCATGTGTGGGCAGCTCCAGGGTCCCACATTTCCACCCTGAACTGTTGGAACCCAGAGTCACAGCTCCATGCATTCATCAGCCCACAGTGTGCCAAGAGCTAGGTGAGTTAGGAATGAAGGAGCATCAATGGTGACCAAACATCTACCATGCTGTACTAGGAGGTCTAAAGCACACCCAAAAGGAGCACCAGTCTGTGGTTTTAAACAGGGAGGGAACTTGCTTCACGATAAATACTTTATGAGGCACGACTGTCTAGACATTGACTGTCATGGCTTGCAGAGAGAATGCCATAACTGGTATCGAAAGGGTAGAGATGCCAGGGAAGCCATGGAGAGCTAAGAAGCTAACAGCCTAGCAGGTCAGTTGCATGAAGGTTGGAAGGTTTGGTGTTATTGCCTTTTAGAGATAAGGAAACTGCTCAAAGGTCCAGGTTAAGTCGCAGTGCTGAGACTTGATGCTGATATCATCCAAAGGAACTTGGGTCTATATGACCGCTTCTCTTCTCTGGGAAAACAAGAGAAGTGTCAGGCATCATCCCTGTTTTCAGTGATTCAAATCTCATTGTGATGTTATAAAACAAAAACAAAACAGAACAGTGATGGATGAGCCCAGCTAATAAGAGGGGGGAAACAAACAACACACACCATCTGGAAGGACCCTGAGAGCATTGGAGAAGAGCAGTCTGAGAAGAAACAACAAAACCAAAGGCTCAGAAAGGGCACTTTACCCTGATCCCTCGTACTTAGGTCATATGTTGGCTCCATAGGTGTTCTATGATCCACAGATTCCAGCTGGGTTATAAGGACAGCCAGCACTTCTAACTAACTGCTTGCCAATGGCCTCTCCTTTCATGCCCAATTTGCTCCCCCACCCCTACTAGAACTCAGCTAACTCCTGCTACATAAAACCAGGCTGATGAAACCAGACAGTGGGATGGAAATCAGAGGACTGGGCCTCTTGGGATGTCTTTGCAAGATAGGAACTCTTCTTGCATTGAGTGTGCTTTCCGTATGACAGGGTAGTCTGGAAGCCTTAGATCTCCAAGTCTGCACCGTGAAACCCGCCCATTCCACCATCTGTATACCCAGAGTTCCAATGGGCTGAGCAGTGCCAGGCTTGCTCCCCGACAAGCTGTGCATTTCTAATGGACAGGAACCACCATCCCTTCCTGTAATTTTTCAACCGCCCCCAGTAAGGAGCAAGTGCATGCTTAGCAAGTAATTCTTAGAAAGAGGCAGTGTGGTAGACATCTCCTTCTCCTTCAAGGTCAAGGGCAACGAATGCCTCCTCTCTGAAGCTTTTCCAGATACTCCCATCAGGCTGTGTTCCTCCCTTCTCTGGGTTCCCATAGTACACCAGACTTGTCCTAATCACAGTTTTTATTAAACTGTAACACAGAGTCTGTGTAGTTATATTCTGTGTCACATTCCCAACCTCAGCTCACTTCTCTTGGCCAGAAAACTTCCAATACCAATTTGTAGAGGTGGGGAAAGGCTCTAGATTCTAGCATAGTCTATGTCCTTCACCCCTTCAAGCCTTCATGCCCAGGGAGGAAAACAGACTTGTGACCTGGATTAAGTACCAGGAGACTCGGAGAGAGGAGCTGAGGTGGCCCATACAATGAACATCTAATATGAGCACCTGTATAAGGCCAAGATACTCAAGTTGGACAGATATTCTCTCCAGATCATCCACACCCTTTACAGAGTTAAGGTTTCTAGAGCCACACAGGAGCCCCGTTGCACAGCCAGACTTAGCCCCTCACGGCTGAGGACATTCACTATCTATCTGCTTCACGTGTTCGTTTGTGTCAAGCGATCTCCCATGGATGAGGCCACTATAGGAAGTTCACGCACTCTTGCCAGAGAGTGAAGGAGGTCAGTGAGCAGACTTGGGCCACATTCAGGGTCACCACAGGATCCACTTCCCTGAGCCTGGACTCCAGATGAGAACCAAATACTCAAACTGGGGATGCCACGTGATGCTTTTCCACGGCATTCCACCTCAAGAGTTCACGATTTGAAATGTGCTAAGTTTCCCCCAGGGCTCTCCAACACTCTATACCCCCCACCATAAACAAACCCCAGCCCTGGCATGGAATTACAAACAGGAAACCCAGCTGTTGGCCCTGCTGAACAGTGCTAAACCAGAATTCTGTCCCTGCCAAAGTTCAAAACGATCAGGGGCCCCTTTGCCCCTAGAGCATGGAATTCAAATAATGTATGCCTTTTGGAGATGAGCTCATCTCTGCTAGCCCCCAAGCAGAATGAAACACTTTCTCATATCCTCCAAGTCAAAGATTTCCCACGACTGCAGACCATATCGGTGAAGTGCAATGCTATGTGTGCAAGGCAGGAGGAGGACAGAGAAGGAATGAGATGGGCAGCGAGGCCTAGCCAAAGGCGGGCACTGAGCCTATCTCTGCAAAGGGGGAGCGAGGACTCGTAGCTGGGAGGACAGGTCATTGACAGTAGAATGTATTAGGATATGAACATTCAAGATAGCTATCAGAAACCATCCTAGCACCCATTGCTCCCTTGCTGCTAGTGAGCCACATTTCCCAACCAAAAAATAGAAATTAAGCCATTAAACATGCCAAAAGCAACAAAGAGCTGTGCAGGGTGAGCAGATGGCTGCAGAGCTCTGGCCAAGCCCCAGTCAGCCAAATGAGGAGGCGTTGAGATTCCACTCAGGGTGGCAGGACTTCGGTGTCGGTAACTGGAGGGGTGGCCTAGTACAAAGGGCAATAGGGAGGGGTCCAGCTTCACAGGCAAATTCATCTCATCAGACTCTGCCCATGGTTTCATGGCCCGGATAAGGAAGCAATGTGAGCTGCAGTCTGTCAGAGGGCATCAGTACCAGTAGCAGGCAGCTGGAAGGGTTTAAGAGCAGACCTCCAGCCTCCCACCCTCCAGCCATTGCCAGGTCATCTCTGAACACCCCCTGCATTGCAGGCTCATTCCATGTGCACCAGATGTAGCCCCAGCCATAAATCTTTTTAGACTTCTTACCTCTCTCCTTGATAGACTTCCTAGCTATGTTCCTTTTCTCTTGGACTGTGATCTTCCTTCAAGCTAAATCACCATTGGCTTCCCCTCTAGCCAGGGCCAGAAGCCAAGGAAACAGTGGGGGAGATGACCACAATCCTTGGCTTCATACCAGGCCTGCATCCCAGCTTTGTCTCTTACCCGCTGAGTGACCTCAGACAATTATTTCCTCTCCATGAGCCTTGGCTTCATCTGTGAAATGGGTTGTCATGGAAATTCCATGAGACAGAAATGCAAAGCATTTGGCATTCAGAAAATACTCAATGTGTGGAAAAGAGAACTGCTTGGCTAGATAGCCCGAAACAAGTAGGATCTAGAAGACAACTCATCAGGTAGAGGTCCCGGCCACTAAGTCTGGTGATCTAAGTTTTATTCCCAGATGGTGGGAGGGAAGAACTAATTCCCACAAGTTTTTCTCTGACCTCCCTCTATATTAGTGTCGTGTCACATGTAAATACGATACATATATCACGTGTGCGCACACACACATACACACACACACACACACACACACACACACACACACAGAGTCTTCAAGTCTTTTCTTTAGAGTTCAAAATTCTTTCTACTCTAACAATATTCCCATCCCCCCCACCACACAAAATAAATAGAAGACAATTTGTGTTCCCTGATGTGTCTATATATTATTACAGGATATCAGGTGACTTTGTAGTGGTACTGTGACTATCAAAAAGGCCTTGTTCCCATCCTGGGGGCAATCCAAGGGCAAACAAGACCAACCACTGGGCATCAGAAGGTCCATGGTACCATGAGAGATAGAGAGACCAGACAATCACAGGTTTCCCGGGCATCTACTTTGCTTCAGATGCCTTCACACACCTTGGCTTCCTGAGGTTCTTGGGAAGTCAATTACAGTCTCAGTTTCCAGCCAGGAAAGGGGGTACAGTAAACTTCCTGCAGCGGTGCCCACCCAACACTACCTAATCATGGGAGATATTGATTTTAACTCCACTGGCCAGACTTGTGGCCCCATCTACCTCTAGCCCGAAGAGGCTTCTCTGATACTTGCCCAGGGTATTCTCTTTCTAGTCCCATCTACAATGTCCTCATTATCCTTTTCATTGGCTTCCCAGGCCCAACCTTCCTAAGTCAGAGTGACGCCTTACACACCCTCGGCACTGCACTGAGCCCAGGGGAAGGCCTGTGTGGAGATGCCATTCATTCCAATGAAGGGAAATGCCACAGAGACAGAACCGACTATCCAGAAACATTGCAGCAGCAGGGTTCTGAAAGGAAAGATTTCCATGGACTACTGGGTGGTGCCTGCCCATTTCTAATGCCCTTCATAGGTCAATTTTATTTATTCCTCTAATTTACCTGTAAGGTAACAGGTTCTGCATTGGTCTATGAGTAAGAACCAGATATGGTAGCACACACTTATAATCTCAGTTCTCCCAAAGTAGAGACCGGAAGGTTATGAATTCAAGGCAACCCTGGGAAACATAGCAAAACTCTGTCTCAGAAAAGCCCAGCAATAGAGTGTTTGCTTAGATGCACAAGTTCTTGGGTTCGACCTCTAGCACTGCAAGTAAACAAATAATTTTAAGGCTGAGGTTATAAAGAGGAGGAGTAGCCAGTGGATCCGCAGTATGCCAATGAGGGCACACCTGTTTCATGACACCAGAGCCAGCAATTATCCCTTGTGTCTGGGGATGTAGCCCTGTAACTGAGTATTATAGGTAACCCAAAAGGAGTTCGGCCCCCTCCAGCTCCTAACTTTCAGGCCAAGGATCTTTCCAGCACCCCACACCCACCTATCAGGAACTCAAAGCCAAGTAGTTTTGAATAATCAGAACTCCACTGGTGAGTAGGTGGTCAACAACCTCTTTACCTGCAAAGTACATGTCAACTTTCAATGACCCACAGGCATCTATGCCTGTGTCTTGGGGACATGGA